ATCGTCCTCCCATTGTCGTCCTCCCCCTCATCGGCCTCCATCATCGTCCTCCCATTGTCGCATCATCATCATCAGCCTCCCCATCACCTCCCTCATCCTTCCCCCTCCTCCCCCTCCTCGTCCTCCCCTCCCTCCTCCTCTCCTCCCTTCTTTCTTTCAACATTACTTACATCCTCTCTTCTCTCCGCGTTCTCCTCGTCCCCTGTTTACTCCTCCTGCCTCCCCCTCCTTTCCCAAGATAACTGCAACGCAATCCTTTTTTCCACTTTATGCTCCCCGCCTTCTCTGATCAAGGCAACTCGCCAGGGCAGAGTTGCTGGACGGGCTGGTGTGGATGCGCGGGGCTTGAAGAGGTCCTTGCGGGCTCAGACGGCATGCAAAAATCCGCCGCCGCGCTTGTGCGGCATTGGTTTGTTCAGTGAACGTGGTTTAGGTCGCGGGTGGGTCGCGGGCTCTCCACCTCCACCTGGAAGGAATGCAAAAGCAGCCCGCCGCAGGCGCCAAACAAATTGGTTTGTACACTGAACGTGGTTTGGGTCGCGAGTGGGCCGCGGGTTCTCCACCGGGAACGAATGCAAAAAATGCCCGCCGCAGGCGCCGAAAATGTGGTTTGTACCCTGAACGTGGTCGCGGGTGGGCCGCGGGCTCTCCACCTGAAACGAATGCAAAAGATGCCCGCCGCAAGCGCCGAAACATGTGGTTTGTACCCTGAACGTGGTTTGGGTCGCGGGTTGGTCGCGAGTTGGTCACGGGGTGGGTCGCGGGCTCTCCACTTGGAAGGAATGCAAAAAAAACCGCCGCAGGCGCCGAAAATTGTGGTTTGTACCTTGAAAAATGTGGGTCGCGGGTGGGTCGCGGGTGGGTCGCGGGGTAGGTCGCGGGTGGGTCGCGGGTGGGTCGCGGGTGGGTCGCGGGTGGGTCGCGGGGTGGGCCGCGGGCGGGTCGCGGGGTGGGTCGCGGGGTGGGTCGCGGGGTGGGTCGCGGGGTGGGTCGCGGGGTGGGTCGCAAGGTGGGTCGCGGGTGGGTCGCGGGTGGGTCGCGGGTGGGTCGCGGGGTGGGTCGCGGGGTGGGTCGCGGGGCGGTCGCGGGGCGGGTTGCGGGTGGGACGACGACAACAAACAACAACAAACCACAACAACAACAACAACAACAACAACAACAACCACAAACAAACAACAACAACAACAACAACAACAACAACAACAACAACAACAACAACAACAACAACAACAACAACACCAACACCAACACCACCACCAACAACAACACCAACAACAACAACAACAACAACGAGAACCCGCACAGCGGAATTCCACTTCAGCCACGCACCCAGGGACAGAGAATGACCGTTCGGCCCCCTCACTCTGATGATGAACTGCAGAATATTACGCCCCCAATGCCTTAACACCATTGGGTCCGAAGACCCGCTGGGCCAGGGCCCCTGCGACCGTAAGCAGTTGCTTCCGCAGGGTTCCAATGCGGTGAGATTTGAGAGCCCCCCGACCCTAGGGCCCTAGGACTTGAGCCCCGAATGCCACGGTACCTGCCCCCCCCTCCCCCCCGTAGCGCCCAACGCCCGAATGCCTTAATACCGGGCTAATCTTAAACTCAAATGCCTTGATAATTGATAATCTTAAATTCTGGGAGCCTGAGACCCTAAGGGCGTAAGATCTCTCTCGAAAAGAGCTCAACACCCACTCTAACACCCTGGGGCCCGAAGATTTCAAAATACTAAGACACCAAGCCCAATATTGTAAACCCATAGGGCCCCAGCACCTTGGGGCCCCAAGGCCCGAAGCTGAATGAGTGCCCCGAGGCCTTGAAACCATAAGCCGCCTAACACTTCTACTGGAGTCCCTGATGCCTTTAATATACACCGGAGCGTCCGACCCTCATGCTTTAACGTTTTACTGCTACAGAACCGCACTACCACAAAACACGGGACCGTCAGAACCTGAAGAGCCCAATGCCCTAACACCTTGCAGCCCCATTACCCTAAAAGGACTGTCTTGGTGCCCATGTAGGGCTGTCTGGGGGCCCATGTAGGGCTTCCTTGGGGCCCATGTTGGGCTGTCTTGGGGCCCATGTAGGGCTGTCCTGGGGCCCATGTAGGGCTGCCTTGGGGCCCATGTAGGGCTGTCTTGGGGCCCATGTTGGGCTGCCTTGGGGCCCATGTAGGGCTGTCTTGGGGCCCATGTAGGGCTGTCTCGGGGCCCATGTAGGGCTGCCGTGGGGCCCATGTGTGGCTGTCTTGGGGCCCATGTCGGGCTGTCTTGGGGCCCATGTAGGGCTGTCTTGGGGCCTGTGTAGGGCTGTCTTGGGGCCCGGGTAGGGCTGTCTTGGGGCCAATGTGGGGCCGTCTCGGGGCCCATGTAGGGCTGTCTTGGGGCCCATGTAGGGCTGTCTTGGGGCCCATGAAGGGCTGCCTTGGGGCCCATGTTGGGCTGTCTCGGGGCCCATGAAGGGCTGCCTTTGGGCCCATGTAGGGCAGTATTGGAGCCCATGTGGGGCTGCCTTGGGGCCCATGTTGGGCTGTCTCGGGGCCCATGTAGGCTGTCTGGGGGCCCATGTAAGGCTGTCCTGGGGCCCATGTAGGGCAGTCTTGGGGCCCATGTAGGGCTTCCTTGGGGCCCATGTAGGGCTGTCCTGGGGCCCGTGTAGGGCTGTCTTGGGGCCGATTTAGGGCTGTCTTGGGGCCCATGTAGGGCTGTCTTGGCGCTTTTCAGCCCCTGAACATCTTAATTGGGGTCGGCTCTGGTGGGCGTGCACGGGCAGACATTTAACACGAGTGCTCACACATATCAAGTCTACGAGACGGCACGGGTATGCGACACGGTACAATTCCAGGGGCGAGTTCTGGCAACCGCGATGGATTTCGAGGTCGGTGGCGATCCTTGTTTTGATAGCCAGACGAATTCTTGTTCTACAACACTCAGAATTGGAGACGAATTTGCCTCTCATCATCGCCGTTTCCATTGTCGTTTCAGCAGCACGAGTTTGCATTTCCTGATCACTTCCATGCGATTGCGTGGGTTCCGCGTTGTACACACCTCACAGTTCCCAATGAGTCAGCCCCCGCATGGCGCAGAAGCCGCGCCACCGGCGGCCGCGCACAAGGTCAGGGGATCCACGTTGAGGCTGGAGGTGGTCATAGACGATCTTCCCGAGCACCTCGAGGGCCACCTGAAGTTGCATATGCCAGCTGAGATCAAAGTCATGTCCAGGAAGCGCATCCAGGAGGCCGCCGCATCAGCATCGCGTTCAAAGAAACAACTTGCGGCAGTTGGCGACGCAGAGGCGTCATAAGTTCTTGAGAAACAACAGACAAGTGACGACGCAGAGCGTTCATCAGAAGTTGAGTTCATTGGCGCATCGGTCACAAGGCCTGTAGGACATGATGCTGCCAAAAATGAGTCGCAGGCTTTGCCGTTTCAGCAGTCAGTAGATTCGGCCGTGCGCGCGCACCCTTCTCCAATGCAGCCGTCTTTGGCAGCTGTGCTGCCTGCCGACATCGCGCCGAGCCCCCAGCCAGCAGCCGAGAGTCCGACCCCATTGTTGCCAGTGGAGCCACCCCTGGGGCATCAGGCTGCGGCAGCAGTAGCAGCGCCAACTGTCATAGAGTCTCAGCTTGAGGGTGCCTCTTTAGTGAACCAAGAGGACGCAAACGTCAATGGTTCAACCAGCTCTCGTCCCAGGTTGGCCTCGAGGGTCTTCGGCGGCGGCAGCCTTTCTAGGATCCCTGTGTTTAGGGCCTAGGCGTTCGGCCCCGTAGCGAGCCCCGCTATGCAGGCAGAGTTGGATGATGCACTGCGCGAGGACGGCACCCAGCCGCCCTTTGAGGAAGACCCTGCCCCCGCCACGCATTTCCAGGAGGACTCTTTGGTTGAGACGCTTAGGTAAGCAGCTGATAGGTTCGAAATGAAGGGTGAGGAGGACTGAGGAATGAGTAAACGATCGGTGGAGACATGAGGCAGGAGGAATGAGGAGCGAGAAGTGAGGAGGACCGAGGAGGAAGCGAGGAGGAATGAGGAACGTAGAGTCGGAGGGAGGACAAACAAACAGAGAGACGATGGTTCCATATCCACTGTTTAGTCTGGCATCGTGCGCGCTTTGGTGCAGCATGAGCATGAGGTGTTTGCAGCAGTCTGAGTTTGACTCATACTCGTTACTTTGTGTTTCCTGACGGCCACCAGTGACAGAGTGGCAACATTGCGCGAAGTTCCTGCGCGCGTAAACGAATGATGGTATCGTGGTGCCCTCTCCTGTGCCTCAGCATTGTCGACGTCGTCGTCGTCCATGGTTCATGTCGTCGTCGTCGTCGCTCTTGTCGTCGTCGCCGTCGTCGTCGTCCTTGTCCTCGTCTCTGTTGTCCTTGTCGTCTTCGTCATCAATGCCAGCCAGAGTGGACCGACGTCAAACTCTATGTGGCGCAACCTATGTGGTGCAATATATGTGGTGCAACCTATGTGGAGTAATCTAGGGGGAGGCCTCTTGGTGGAGCCGTCTTGGTGGAGGCCTCTTGGTGGAGCCGTCTTGGTGGAGGCCTCTTGGTGGAGCCATCTTGGAGGGGCCATCTTGGGGGAGCCATCTCAGGAGATAGTGATAGGGCGATATGATATAACACCAACACTGAATTGCACAACGTGCGTTGCTTTTCGCATGGCTTGCAAATGCATTGCACTGCAACTGTGTCTTTCCCTGGCGTGTCCTGTGTACCAGAGGAAGCCCCTACTTGAGTTGCGCATGTGGGAGTCTCAGTTGAAGGAATGGCTTCCCTTGGTCTTGACAGATGGCCCAACTACTGCCCCAGCGAACGGGGAACGGCCAAGCACCAATGTTTCCAGACCCGTTGTTCTCCACAGCCATTTGTGATCGAGCATCACCACGTGAGATTATAAGAGAGTTTCTCGTCTTCTCGATGGCTCCCAAGAGGAAGCGTAAGGAAGATCCAGATGATGAGGAGGGACCGCCGCCGATCTGCGGCCCCCGCGCCACCGCAGGTCCCATCGCCGTTTCGAAGGGCGCTGGGAAAGGAGGCTACCAGATCGGCCCGAAGCAGGAGTTCGGGCTGCCGCCCCAGCCCGTCGACGGGAAACCTCCCAAGAAGAAGCCCAAGATCGGCTGCGGCATCTGCGGCGAGAAGACGGATGCCATGGCGACAGCGTGTAAGTGCGGGAGGTGCTCTGGGACGCACAAGTTCGCGTTCCCTTTCTGGGACTGGGACACGTTGACTGACCAGTACCACAGCAACGAGAAAGTGAAGGCTGGCTTCGACAACTCGCACCAAATTCTGCACAAGCAAGGCGGCGTGAAACCAGAGATGGAGTCCGAGGAGACCGTGGGGGAGAAGTCTGGCCTTTTCGAGGACACGGTCTGGTCGTTCCGTTGCCTGAAGGAGAGCGACGTGACCGCCTACTACAAGAAGCCGCCGAGCGAGATCGACATGAAGCCCACGAGCATTGTGGACCAGAGCGGCGCCCTCAGGAACGTCTTCGTACAGGTGAACCCTGACCAGCCGCACACCATCGTGAACATCTACCGCCGCAGGGAGCTCAACCATTCCATGCTGGCGATGCCTACAGGTCGGAGACTGTTCCCCCAGCAGGGCGCTATCCACATGCAGTCCTTGATTGAGAACCGTTGCGCGGACCTCAGGGCTTTCTTCAACGCGCCCACTCACGAGGACATCCTGAGTAGGCTCCAGGACAAGGCGACGGTCGAGGAAATCGCGGCAAAAAACAAGGCCCTCAAGTCCAGGAGTTCGGGTTCAGCGCCGTCGAGTTTGCCGCCGTCGGGGCCATCTTCAGAACCGGTGGTGGCCTTGGCCGATGGGGCTGCGGCTGCAGGGCCGACGGAGGCGGCGAGCGTCCCCAAGGCGACCGACCCAGGCGAGCCCATGGGCCCGCCAGCCTCCACGCCTGTGAAGATGAACATGTCTGCCCTGTCGCAGCTCGAGGGTTTCCGCCTGGTGGTGCTTCTTCGCTGCACGCGCCGATGTCGGCGGTGGGCGGTGGCGGTGGCTCGGTGGTCTCCAGCGTGAAGGCCAGCAGCTTTGACGATGGCGAGGCCATGGAGGAGGAGTCGGAGGAAACGGACAAGGAGACGAGGACGGCGAGGGCTTCTTGGTCCAAGCTCCGGTTTTCTGGGATGCAAGGGTACATTGAAAAGAGCACGTAAGAAGGTATCACATAACATAACACGGCGCGCACACCTAAAATACTAATGGCTTACGCGTGTGCATGTAAACGTACGTGTGCAATGCAATACATAAGGTCCCATACCCAATTTAAGCCACCTGTGCAAAACGTCAGCGGGGTGACGGCCCCGACCCCATACCAAGCTTAAACGAGCGGGGGGAACATAAGTTAGTGTACCCAGCAGCCCTGAAAATCGAGCTGGACCGCCGACCGCAGGCACGCTATGCACAATTGCAAGATCCACAGACTGCTGGCGGGGAAGAAGGTGGGGCACACGGTGCGCCAGCTCAGGGACAACGTGAGCAAGCATACGGATGATCCAGACCACAGTGTGGCTTCGACGTGGTTGAACCTAGCAGAGAGGTGCAAGGTTGCTGGCGACCAGAATGCGAAGATCATCAGGACGATGAACGGCGACGAGCTGGCGAAGCTCGCAGATGACATCGACAAGAACGTCCCCAGAGTCCCCGTGGGGTTCCAGCGCGCGTTGTGGGAGAGGGCGCTGGAGGACTGGAAGAACGACCAGGATTGGGCATCCAAACCAGGACATGCGATCGCTATGTGTTTGCCGTGGCCTCGCGAGATCGGAGACGTTGATAATGTTGTTAAATTCGAGTGCGCGGCCCCGACTCTAGCGTTGATGACTCTGCCTGTTCCGGAGAAGGCGGCGAAATTCAAGGACTACCTGTGCAAGATCATCCTTTCGCGCTCCTTGCACCTCAGGAAGGATGGGCACCAGAAGACCATGGAGTTCGTTGCCGCTGCGATGGGCGAAATCAAGGCGATGCCGATGACCTGCGAGATCGAAGTCGATAATGCTGCTGCTGAGGTCGTGACGGTATTGCAGCTGATGAATACGCTTGGGCAGCAGGCCGAAGATACGCTAAACCTGGCGGCAGTGGAGCAGCTGGGCAAATCTAAAGCCACTACGGTCGAGGGCGCCGTCTACGCCGTCGTGTCGAATGAGCCGTACTGGAAGGTGAAGCTCAAGGACTACTTGAAGTTCTCTCCCGAGGTGAAGAAGTGGCGCCCTATCATGAGTAAGCATTCGGCAGCCCTGCAGTCCGAGGAGCCGCCGACTTACAAGACCCTCAGTAGCATCATGAAGGATCTGCCCATCATCAAAGCGGTGCTCCCAGAGGTGGAGTACAGCTCCTTCTTCCAGGTATCGCGCGGTGCCCTGGGCCGCTTCTTCGAGCACATCGGTGCCCATGTGAAGGATAACCCGCGCGAGGCAACCGACGAGTTCAGTGATAATGTAGAGGCTCTTTCGCAGAAGGCGGCTGCCATCTTCGGTTTTCACTCGGCCTGGTCTGAGGCAGTGGGTACGATCAACTCTTGCAGGTCTCATAATAATGGGAAGAACCTCGTCATGCAGTTTTGCGGTAAGCTTGGAGTGTTCAACTTAGACATCCTCGTCTCTGGATTATCTCAGTTTGACAAGATCGAGGGCCTGAAAGATCTAGCTCCAGAGCCGTCCATGCAGCAGTTCATTTCTCTCACGAAACAGGCAGTGGAATGGGTCACAGAGAAGAGGAGCAACTCCCTCGATGTCTCTCGTGATCCGCTGTTCGATTCTTCGCTCAGGTGGGTTTCTACAACAAACGCATGGCTGGAGTGGTCATGCGTCTCTCCCGTGGGGTCTGGTTTCAAGTCCTTCGAGCAGTTGGTTGGCAGAGCGAAGTTGGCAAAGACCTTAGTGGGGGCAATGGCGACCATCGTGCCGCAAGACCCGAGCAGCGACTTCTCTGACGCCGACGCCGCCGCTGCCCCCGATCACTCAATTGATGCTTTCTTGGGCCTGCTCACGCAGTACGAGGCATTGAAAGAGGCGACCCCCGAGGACGATGCAGCTGTCGTGAATGATACTTTCATGGAGGCGCTGGCGGCAGAATCGGCGGCCCTCAAGGACAAACTCTTCGGCGCGAAACGGGCTGCGCTGGAGGCGATGCTCTTGTCGAGGAGCGCGAGCGTGCCGCTGAGCAAGCTCAAGGGTGGTTTACTGGACAAAGACTGGCGCGACGGGGTCAGCCCTTCGATTGCATTCGACGCCGTGCTTGACATTGCGGGCGACTTCCTCAAGAGCATGCCCCACGACCCCCTCAAGGCTGAGGTCGAAGCGCACATGCAGCTGAAGAACGAACTCGGCACTCTCACTACAAAGTTCAACACCTACGTGACTAACATCGCCGATTTGTTTTTTTAGCGCCTCGGCCCGTTCAGTGACTCGGGTGGCACTACAGATGAGGAATAAAACGCGTCTCAAATGCAACCTCCTTGTTGAACCATGCCGAGCACTCCATGCCTCTGGACCCCCTTTCAAAGCAGGGAACAGCAGCATCGTGCAGAGGAGGAAGGGCGGCGCCGTGTGAAGATCCTCTGTGGCCCAAACGGCCACAAACAAAAAGTCAAAGCACACACAGCGGCAATCCAGGAGGGAGGAGCGAGGAGGGAAGCAGAGGGGAAAGCGCGCACGACAGACAGCAACGGCCAGGGGCGGGCAAAGCGATAGAAAAAACGCCCATATTCCTATCAGCCCTACGGCGTCCGCGTGGACGGGAAGCACAGAAAGAGAGAAAAAGAGAGAGAGAGAGCGAGAGAGAGAGAGAGAGCGAGAGCCTCAGGTTTCGCACAGGGCAGTTTGTTGGCGTTGCTAGAGTGTTCATTCATACTGCTTGCTGAGGAATGGTAGTTGGGCGTTGTTCAGTTCCCCGCCCCTCGCCTCCCTGGTTCTCTTTCTCTCTCTCTCCCGCCCCCTGGTGCATGCCCAAGTGTTCTGAGTTTTTTGTAATTTCGTCGTGCGTCCGCGGGCCAGCCCGCGCGTGCTAGGTTCTGCTCCGGGCGTGCACGCCTGCGGGGCCTGGGGGCCCTGCACGTTACAGCCATACTAAAAACCTTAGTGACTGTTGGGTGCGGCGCTGCGCTCCCTGCGATACTTCGCTGTGTACTGTAGTTATGTAGTTGGTCTTCCGACTTGTGGAGCCTCGTGTTGTGAACAGGTCGCGGCCATTGTTGTTATGCTCTGACTAACACCGCCGAGGTGGACCTTGCCCTGGCAAACTTGCAGCGTGCTGCGACGACGGTGTTCGAGTACGCCGTTGTCTACGGAGCGAGCAAAATTAAAGGCAACGCTGTTGTACTCAAGGAATATCTCATGACTGTGGAAAAGAACAGGCAGAGCTGGGGTGTGGAAAAACTGCTCGAATCAGTGCAGCTCGCCATGGAAAAGGGCATCGCTATGCAGAGCTTTATGTGATATATGGTGTACAGGAGTGAGAGACATAGATGATATCAGATATCAGGTTGCACGTGACTGCTCTCACACAGGAGATGGCTTGACAAATGTAGCTCGGTCGTACATCTCGCCTGTCGAACTCAGGCTGAAGAAAATCAACACCAACAATCACACAAACATCAAACGCACATCAAGCAAACATCAAGCAAACAAGTCACCGACACTACACAAAACAATAACCTAACATCTAGGACGCAATCATCATCATCACCACCATCACCATCGCTACGGCCGTCTCGCCTGTCCTTTCTTCCTTTCTTTTGGATCTGTCCTCTCGGTTCTCCCTCATTCCTTCCCCCTTCCGCTCCCTCGCCTCCCTTCAGTTTCCCTTCCCCCCTCCCCTCCATGCATCCCCCTCCTCTGCCCTCCCCCATCCCCCTCCCCTGCCCTCCCCTTCCAGGAGGAGGACGAGGAGGGGGAGGAGGAGGATAACCAGGAAGAGAAGGATGAGGAGGAGGAGGGGGAGGAGGAGGACGAGGAGGAGAGGAGGAGGATACCAGGAGTACGAGGAGGAGGAAAACCAGGACGAGAAGGATGAGGACCAGGAGAACGAGGAGGAGTTGGAAGTCGAGGGGAAGAAGGGTACGATGAAGAAGGGGGGGAAGAGGAGGAGGACGAGGAGGAGGAGGAGGAGGAGGAAGAGGAATACGAGGGATAATTAGTGTAGCGTATCAGAGCACGCGCATCCATAACATGTATGGTGCGTGTTTCTTGGGGTGTTGTTGTCTCCCCAAACGTGGTTCGTAGGATGCCTGATGAGACCCGGTGCTGCTAGCAATCTCAAGGATTCGTTCTAATATGCGCAGGGGCGTGGCCTTGGAAGTGCGGATCCTGTACAATTTACAAAGGGTCGTGGCGACGGGGGTGCACATCCAGAGTGATCTATGAGGGATCGTGGCATTGCGAGCGCGCGCCCTACATACTTTAGGCATCCTGCTGTTCCGAAGGCGCGCTGCGTCAGTGACAACAATTTCCCGCTCCCCCAGGGCCCCCCAGGGTTTGCCGCGGAGCGGGGGCGTGGGTTCGGACACAACCAAGATGGCCTTCAAGACGGCCCAGCACGGCCCCACGAAGGCCACCGACGGCTGCACTAGGATGGCCACAGAGATTCCCCACATGCCCCTCGATGGCTTCCGCGAGGACCCCGAAGAGACCCTCGATATGCCATCACAACTATCAAGTTTAATGTGCCAGAGAGATACTCATCAAAGCTAAAATGTGGGCTGATGAACTACGACGCCCCCTTGGGAACAAATGTTTGACCTATTTGAATAGTAGTTAAAAGCCTATTTAAAAATCTTCGGAATCCTATTTGCGGCCTATTGAAAAAATCTGGTTTTTCAAGAAAAACAGATCTCCCTGGCACAGCGCGACTGCAACAAATGGCGCGGCGAAAGACATAGACGTGATCTTGCGGCCGAAGCACGACAAACGTGTCAGCATACCTGAAGCTGCGCACTCCGTGCATCGTGCGTCCGATTGCCAGGGCGCACAGCATGCACCAGAGCCTGGGGCAACAGGCCATGTTGGCAAGTGAGTGGCGCAGCTGTGTCTCGATTGCCTGCCAATCGCACGCAACATTGCCACCTTGTTGAGTGGGCGGGTGGGCCGCGTGCCAGTGGTAGTGCTAACAAGTGATCGCAGCCAAAAGCCGTCTATTGTGTAGCACGCAGGCAGGGCCATTT